TGTCCCTTTTCAAGGCCAAGGATCCATGATTTATCTAGTTGCACTTCCTTAATGGACACATGCACATTTGAGCGAAGATGTAGACACAACAACATTTGACTGATATGTGCAGCTCCAAACCACGCAGAAGAAACCAGGTCTGTGGGATCGCAATCAGATGCAAAACCAATAATGGAATTGAGTAAGAGATCAGAAAAATATTGCACAAAACAATTTAAAAAACGAAATAAAAGCTGCCTTTTATTTAGTAGTGGCCTGAAATTCCACCTAGTCTTAGTCGTCAAGTACATTTTGCTTCAAGATTTAAGATTACGTAGAATTGTAGAAAATGTTTAAAATTTTACGTTAATTTGGAAGTCAGTTTTGTACATTCTTAAAAAGAACGAATTAAAAATCTTCCACCTAAATTTTAACACAAAACAGTCTCACAAGCTAAGACTGGGTTGAATTTCAGGCCACAAAAGATGCATTTTGCATGGAAATTCCTGAAGAGTGTCAGAAAGTTGTATTTTTATAGCACCTCATTATGTTGAAACATACGATTTTCATTAATAATTAGCAAATAACACGGGAGAAAATTGTGAATAGTGTCACGTATTCGTTAACGTCCACTTGAACAATTTCCCAGGTGGGTGGATCTTGGTTTGACATCTTATCCGAAGGACCACAAACCCATCAATGTAAGGCTACCCATTCCTCAGAGAATCAAGTACAAAACTCTCATTCTTATCTTCAAGGCTCTTCAGGATCTTGCTCCCCCCTACCTCACTGACCTCATAACTCCATAGCAGCCTATCCGCTCCCTCCGTTTGGCGGACACTGGCCTGCTTCAGGTCCCCCACACTTCCCACCTCACCATTGGCGGTCGGGCATTCAGCATCTCTGCTTCTATACTCTGGAATTCTGTCCCACAATATCTCCGCCTCACGCCCTCTCTTGCCTCCTTCAAGTCCCATCTAAAGATCTTCCTCTCCAACCGTGCTTTTGGCCACCCTCCCAGCCCCACCCCCCTGCCCTCCTCCCCTTCTGACCCAACACCCAAAGCCCCTGATTGTCCAGCGCCCTGGGACTTCTTTCTGATGTGAAGACCACTATACAAGTGTAATTCGCTGTTGTTGTACCCAGCAATGCATTGGAGAGTCGGCCTGGACTATAAGATCAATAATAACAAATTGTATTTATTCTTCATGTAGAGAATATTTCAGAGTGGTTCACAGAGATGGACGTCAGTTAAGCAGTGAGGGAGAAACGGTTAGGGAAGTGACCGTGAACACGATCAACGTGATAGTTCTTTTCATAAATAACACACAAGCAAGGGCAGAGATGGAGTGGGTGAAAAAAGGTTGTTATGGAGAGTGGGCCACCGTGGCCAAAGGCTTCTTTAAATATCTTTATGTACAGTTTCTAATCCAGTTCCGATTTCACTAGAGAAACCGAGTGATTACAGGAGCTTTAGAGATGGCAAGTACATGATCCTTAATGCAGCTGAGTATTACTGAAGTGCCGAGAAACCTCAATCAAGTGCAGCTTTAACAACCTAGTGTGGGCCTGTCAACAAACCACCCATCGGAAAGGGTTAACACCATTCTTCTGCCATGTTGCTGCTGAAATGGCACCAGATGATGAAATCATGCCACACTCGATAATGTTGGCCTGTTTTTTAAAGGAGTGATGAGAGCTGGTTTCCTGCAATGCAGGATAATGAGGTGCTGACAAGTTATTATGGTCCCATCCACTACAAGTTGGCAAGATGGGACTCTCTTCCTACAATGCATAGCATTGCACCGAGGTGGATGGGCTGGCCTGATGTGCTGAGTGACATACATGCAGACATGAGCTGTGTGAGGAAACGTTTCGGTTTGGAAAAAACAATATAATCCATATTTAGCAGCAGCAATTTTTTTAAAGAAATACAATGAAATTTTATAGAACGATGTTAAACATGGGGGTGTAGTCTGCAACCTTTCTCGGGTTAGGCTCTGTGTGCCCCTGTTCACCATTATCCTCACCGGGCTCCATTGCTGTTCCCCAGCAGATTGATTTCAAGATCCTTGTTTGATTTTCAAATGCTTCTATGTCCTTGCCCTACCCTACCCCTGTGGTTTGCAGTCTCACTGCTGAGCTCACCCGGGCCAATTGCCCATCCTATGAATGATCTACACCATTGGCAGCCTAGCTTTCAGACATTGTGCTCCTGCTCTCTACGGCCTTGCGCTCTCCCAAAATCTTGGCTTTGCGCCCATACTCTGCTTTCAAAATTCTTCTAAAAGCCAACCTGTTTGACTGTGCTTTTGATCATTTTACCCCTGTATTCCTCACTACCTACTTTTTCCCACCATCAGCGGTCGGTGCTTCTGCCTTTCTGCCCTTGGTCTCCGGAACTCCATTCTGTAGTCCCTTCCCACATCACCTTCAAGGTCCACCTCAAGACCTTGCCCTTTGACCGCACTTTTTGTCATCTTCCCATCCCCACCCCTGTTCACCCCATTCCTTCTGAATCCAACCACCAGCTTAGGTGCAAACACTTGACTGTCCAACACCTTGGGGCATCCTCCCAAGGAGTCCTGTAGCTCAGTGGTTAGAGCACTTGCTTTGCAAGTGAGAGACCTGAGTTCAATTCCAGGCAGAGCGAAACCTTGGGCAAGTTTCCTTACTCCACACGCCTAATAATAATCCCTCCAAAACCAAAAACAATAATAAATTGGTCATTTTCAATCTACGACTGTTTGTGGGACATTGCTGTGCGCAATTGACTGCCGCGTTCGCCCACAAATATACAGTCAATTCACTTTACAGTGTGTTCTGTGAAGCGCTTTGGGACGTCCTCCCGACGTGAAAAGCTCTATATCAAATGCAAGGATTATTATTATTATTAAGGCGCTACATAACTGCAATTTGTTGTTGTTGCCTCTGTAAAGTGCTTTGAGGTATAATCATACTGAAATGCGCTGTGTAAATGCTAGTTACTGTTTGCCGTTCTTATTCCATCAGCAACAAAAGATCATTTTTTAAAAAAATAAAAGATACATTTTAATAGTGCTGACATTTCATTTTTAGTAAATTCAGAATTCACCACAATTTGTGATATTCCTGTTGTGGTCGGGTTCGTTCATTTCGCACCTAACGAGATCATCAATCAATCCTTGTACATGTTCAATAAACAGAGATGTCCTTCAATTGCTCTGTTAAGGTAAGTGAACCTCTGATCTGAGCATCTTTGTCTGACCTCTGAATCTGTGTCAGAGACAGATTTTCAATTTCCCACTCGTATTTTATATTCTTATTCTCTGAATGAGTTTGGTTAAATATAATTAGTGCTATTAATGGGATTGAATTAATGGGAGCAGCGTGCTAATGAACTATTCATCTTGGACACTGTGCTGTGAGTATCCACATTTAACCCTTAGAGCACTGTTCTGGAAATGCCAAGTTTAAGAAAAAGCTGTTTAGTCTCATTCACTGATGCTAAAACAATATCACATTAACAAAGCTGCTCAAATGTCAAGAGAAGCTTTGTTACTGATGCTATTACATTCTTTATCACAAACCCGTAATTCAAAGCAATTAATTTTAAAGATTTGTTTCTCACAATTTTCCTATTTTTTATCCATTCTCTCTATTTTGTGTTTTGACTTTATTGATGTAACAGTAAATAATAATCCTTACATTTGGTTTCATGTCGGCAGGATGTCTCAAAGCACTTCATAGGATTTACTGTAAAGTGTACTTGTAGGTGAACGTGGCAACCAATTTGCATGTAGCAATGCCCTACAAACAGCCATGAAATGAATCACAAATTTTATCTGGGGGACTGTTATCCAGGACATTGAGAGAAACTCCTTTCTTTTTTCAAATAGTGCCATGGGATCTGAACAGACTGAGAGCGGATCTCGTTTTTTACACTTCATCTGAAGGACGGCACCTCTAACAAAACAGTGTACCCCCCAGTACTGTAGTGCCAGCCTCGACTATACGAGTTTAAAGTTTCGACATGGGACTTGAACCCTCAATTTTCTGACTCAGAGATGAGAGTTCTATCGATTTAGCCAAGCTAACACATTTCATATACTTAATTAACTTCACATTTTTATTGAATAACTTCTTTCCCTCACCCCATTTTTCTCCCTTCCTCTCCTGAAACTGATTGTTCATGTTCAAGTACAGTTTTGGATTGCAGCTGCCCTGCAACACCCAGATCAAAATGACCATTCTGTCATCAAGTTCCTAAACAGCATCAGTAGGTCATTCATTTGTGGAGCTCATCAAAGCCAAGCTTGATCCCATTCTACGCTGACCCGTGCACACGTAAACTGCTGGAGAATGATAATGAGCAGTGGATTTTCCACTCTATCCCCTCACTGCTCTTAGGCCAATTGCAGCACTCCCACTGATTCACTCTTACCATTATTAACCGTTGGCTTTTGTCTTGCTTGCTGAGGCTCAACAGCCACATTAACTAACTTAAACCTCTAAGTTGTTGTTGTTGTTAACCAGATCCAGGACCACAGAACAGAACCTCACCTAAACAGTTACGAAGAATCATTTACCACAAGAGGTGAGAAAGTAGCTGTCAGTTAGGAGACACAGACCGCATCCACTAGCCACTGCCAGTGTGCAGTGGTCACTGGCCCCATTAAAAATCCATTCATGTTTCATATTCACCGTTCAGCAAATTATCAGAACCCACATTCAATGACTGCCTTGTATTCCATTGCTAGTCAGCTTCAATCTTAAACATATTTATTTTGCAAAGACTTTGCAAGGATCTGTGGAACAGAATTTCAGCAGTTACTCAGTAAGAGTAAGATGCACGTAAACATGGTGATGGATTTCCGTGTGTATCAGACATCTGGCTGACCAAACAAAAAATGCGTACACCCATGACCATCAACCTAGAGATCAAAACCTGCTGCAACATTTTTCAAATTCCAGGTTACCGTTTTAATAAAGTGACTGTTGAAGGATTTATTGTGGACGGGTGTCCCTTCTGCTTATCTTACCTGTGAATGGTATCCTCCAGCTGCTTCGCTTTGAGCTCATCCTCCTGGACTTGTTTATTCCTGGCTTCCTCCTCTGCAGCAGATACAGCTGGCGTTCCTTGTAGCAGCCATTTCTCTCTCATGGCTTTGGACTGGGTGGAAAGGAGAAAGTGTGTAAAACGTCTTAATCAAGCTAAAGACCACAGATAGTGATCTGAGGTTTGAAATTCCAGACATCTGCAATGTTTTGTCTTAATATTTAACATGGGGCAAAACTGTCAAACATTCTTAAATTCAGACTGAACTTAAAAGCTATTTTTCTGCAATTTTTCAAAAGAAGCTGACTTCTCAATTAAGATAGAATTTAAGAAATTTCCACAATTCCTCACCATCTTAAATGGTCTAATACCTTCACCAAACTTTGCATGCCCATTATTCCAGTCCTCGCCTATAATCCCTCCATGCCCTCGCTCAGTGGTGGTCAATCCTTGGCCCACAGGCTGGAAGTAGCCTATATCGACGTCAACAAGCGAAACATTCACAAAAGTCCTGGTAAATTGTGTTGAATCAATAGTTTTAAGGCATAAATCCAAAAATATTCAATGAACAAACTTGATTTTGTTGGCCGACCTAAATGGTTGTCCACCATTACCCTACTACCTCTGCGTATCTGAGCTTATCTACCCCACTCCTGTGATCGCCCCTCTGCTTCACTATTTTGGGTTTGCTGCCCTCTCCATGCCCCTATTCTTCAGCTACAGTGCCCAAACCTCTGGAACTTCCTTCCTTTCCACCCTCCATCTCAGTCCTTCTCTATATGTCTTGAAAACCTCTCTTTTACCACACCTACGTTATCTCACCCTTCATCTCTTCCGACAGCACTATTGGGAAGTGCTCCAAGACATTATCCTAAAATTTCACAGCCTTGAGACCATTTTGAATTTTAAATTCTTAAAGTTTTAAAATTGTGAAAAATTCCTCTTCTCAAGTTTCATTTGGAAGCAAAGTTTTCTGCAAATCTTAATAAGAACCAGCTTCCAAATTAAAACTGAAGTTTGGAATTTTTCACCCTTCGGTGCGATATTAAATTTTAAGACAAAGTGGTCCCAACAGGCTAAGAGGAGGTGGAACATCAGACTCAAGGAATGTGAAAGCCATTTGTTCAACAGGCTGGTCAAATGCCAATGCATAATGAGGTTAGTTTTTGTAAAAAGTTCACTTTCTAACAAACTGAATTAATACACAGTCCGTAGGGAAGCCTTTCTTTGCAGGTTTTATTTATTCTCTCACTGGGAAACAAGTTGATCTGCCTATAGTCCATATTGAGGCCTGTGACTGTAAGCCTGATTTACTCTCCTGGCCTGATTTACTCTCTCTCGTGGTCTGCCTGCCTCTTGTCTGTCTGTTCTTTCTATACACTGCATCTGCAACGATGTAAGTAGATGCAAAGTAATCTGTATTATACTGGGAAGCAGCTTCACATGGAGAAAGGATATCCTGTCCTGTAGCTCAGCGGTTAGAGCACTCGCCTTGCAAGCAAGACACCTGGGTTCAATTCCAGGCAGAGAGAAACCTTGGGCAAGTTTCCTTACTCCACACGCCTAATAATAATCCCTCCAAAACAATAATAAATTGGTCATTTTTAATCCACGACTGTTTGTGGGACACTGCTGTGCACAATTGGCTGCCGCATTTCGCCCACAAATATACGGTCAATTCACTTTACAGCATATTCTGTGAAGCACTTTGAGACGTCTAGAAGATGTGAAAAGCGCTATATCAAATGCAAGGATTATTATTATACTCAGTAGCAAAGGTGGATTTCAGTGTAATTCATGATTGTTCCTTGAATGTTTCCAACAAACTTGATCAAATACTAAGCTATATCCTGAAGATGTTCATCTTTGTCACCTTAACTCAAAGTGTGTCAATCTAACCTGCTTTCGATCACTGTTGAAGGCACACAATGTCCTTTACAGGGATGTTGGTGCATTGGGAAGGAAAAGAGGGATTTCAGAAAAGAGCAACAAGAAAGATCTAACAGAACTGAAGTACCTTCATGGAGGAAAAAAAGATGGGGTGGGGAAGAATGGCTCTTCAAAATGATGAGAGTAGGCAGCTGGGTTCAGCATCTCACCTGTGGTACTTCAGCTCTGCCCCAGTATGGCATTGGAGTGTCAGCCTAGACTTGAAATTCAAGTACCAATGTAAGCTTGAATTTACAACCCTCTGAACCAAAGATGAGAGTGGTACCCTCAAATCAAGAAAATATATGAGTTATTACAGATGTAGTGATACTCAGAGAGGGCAGCTTAATGAGTCTTTTCAAGGTCTGTAAAATATTTAACCCCTCCCAAACAAGATTATTTCTGCATGCCAAAACACATAAGGCTCAACTCACACATCACTGGATGTCAACCAGTGCCAGAAACACGTGTGCTTTCCACACTAAGAAATGGCAACAAGAAGTGATAGAACTTGTCCTTCAGGACAAGTGAAGGAAAGGTCACAGGGAAAAGTACAAAATATAAACAAGACAAAGAAAAGAAGTCGGATTCCTATATTAACACTCACTGATATCTGAAGCAATGATCTACTGAAAGTGGCATCTGTCGGGTTGCCTTTGCCCTGGAGCTGTGAAAAATGGTTGGAAGCGTGTGAATAGGGACATGGGGATTGCTTGTGGGGATTCAGCACTTCACAGTTTATTGAAAGAAATGCCAGATGCAAATTACATATGATGGTGACTTCATTGGTTTGGATTTCATCTGAATTATTGAAAGCCTCAATGCCTTGCCAGTTGAGCATGGCCCAACAATGCAATAAAAGAAATGTAATGGGCTCATTGCAGCTCATTCTGAGATATTCTTTTAACTGTTTTTCATCTTTTTGCAAACAGAGAGTTGTTGGGATATGGAATGTCCTGCCAAGTGAGATGGTAGAGGCAGAGTTCACTGTGGGTTTGAAGAGGGAAATAAATGGGTACCTGAACGTTGAAGTCTTGAAGGGTATAAAAATAGGGCAGGTCAGGGGGATTAAAAGTACATCTTGCTCTGCGACCTGGTGTAGACTCTATGGGCCAAATTACTTCTTTGTGTGCTGTATAAGAGCTGGGAATCTAAGCTGGCATTGTGGAGAATTTCACCTCTATCCTTTGCTAAGCAATCCTGGTCACCACTGTTATGGTGAACTTATGCTGGTGACTGCAGTCCATTGCTTTAGTGCATCTATTTGGAGGGAGAAAGCAACTTTGTGCTTCTTCTTGCACGAATGAAAATTGGAACTGGTGTCTTGGTGTGCTAATTGCTTTTTTCCACCACTGTTAAAAGATGTGAACTTTTGTAAACTTCTTTTACTGCTCCCTTTTACCTGTAATTCTTTAGAAGCTGAGCTGTCAACAATAAGTAGGAATGAGGCATCATGACAGTGTACTTCACACTAATCATCTATGTCTATAATAGAATGAAATAACTCCATGAGTGTGTGCGTCAAAATGGAAAGGCACAGAAAATGAAAGTAGTTCCTCTGTGTGAAAGTACATTCCTATTTGTTTAAAAAAGTGGGGAGGCATCTTCCAACGTGTCCAAATTGGATCAATGACATGCCTTTTCAATTAAGACTGAATTGGCATGATTTGGATGGATAATTTCTTTGGTGCTCATCCCTAGAGATGACAAATACAGATGTTTCTGCAGTGGCTTGAATCTTGCCTTTTCAGATCTCAATGCAAATTCATAAGAGAGTCTTCAGTGATGATTTGATGGATGACTGAGGTTAGCACCAGTAAAGATGGGATTCCGTCATAGCTTTCACTTGATCTAATCAACACGGGTCTCAACATGGATTAGTTTCTCTTTAATGTGCCGTCCACCTCTTTCATCAGAGTCCACTGATTTACAAGCCATTTGTTACAAAGTCACATCTCCGATGTCCCACCATTAAGCATGCTTAATCCTTCTGCTGAATTGATTTATTGGAACCTTCATTGGATTTAAATTAAATCCATAGATCACTCCAATGCTTCGCTTTTGCTTGATATCAATATGTCCTCCTGTGAACCGTGAAGTACTGCTTCATAGCTATTGATGTGTTTTTTGATGAAAAGAAATGCCACTTGGAACCAGTTAAGGAATCCACAGTATGCGATTCCATAAAATGACGTTATGTACATGATATTTGTAATCAATACATGTTTTAGGTGGTGCAGTTAGAAAGAAAATTGTGCTTTCACATCTAGTAACTTGCATTCAAATGCAGCCCAGTCTAATGAGAAAAATGTTTTCTTTATGTGCTGGCTGTTACAATCCTGGACAGTATCAATCAATTTCTTAGTTGACGTAAGCCCAAAACATAAAACTGATTGAAATGCAGGGGGGTTGGGGTCTGTTGGGAGGCCCTGGTTGGTACAGCGCTGCAAACTTTGCTCTGCAACTGACAGCAGTGTAATTGAACTGGAGAGTGTTTGAAATTGACACCGAGTAAAATACATTGAATAATGTGGCATTCTCCAGCTCCAAAATCCTTACACTAGTAATCAGAAGATTTGCCTCTCCCCCCAGCCCCCAGAAAAGAAATAATTGAACTCACGAAGGAACAGAATAGTTCAGAAGAAGCCGTGAGATGTGAATTGAACTGAACAAAATTCTCTTGCTGGCATTAAACTGAGTCTACTGGCAAATGTCATGTATTACATGTGCCATGAATGAGCCCGATTGTGTGGAATTTGTGAAAGAAATTATAGCATGAAACTCTGGCACCAGTCTCCTACCTTGTGATGCTGCAGCTGAAGTATTTTATCCTCGAGCTGATGCCTCTTGTCTTCAATTTCTGCTTGTCTCCGCCTTTTCTCCTGCGAAGAAAGATAAGAGATATTAAATCTGAAGTTGACTGGCTTCCTATTAGAGGTATTTTTAATGGCCTTTGTTTTGTCCTCATATGCACAAAAAAGTTATGAGACTTTTTTCAATCGAAGAAATTCAAAATATTTAACCGTTGAAAATTTAGATTTTCTCTGACGTACAAATCATTGGGAAACTCGAACAAAGCATGTTTTATTATTCAAGTCAACAGTGAGTTCATTCTGTGACACTAAATAAAAGGGTTAAAGCAATATGGGGAAAACTAAATGTTGCTTCAGTTTTCTTCCTAATCCATTATACTAGTCATAATAATAATAATTATGATAATAATACGGTCGATCAATCGACGACTGTTTGTGGGACACTGCTATGTGCAAATGGCTGCTGACAAAATATACAGTTAATTCACTTTACAGTATATTCTGTGAAACGCTTTAAGATGTCTCGAAAACGTGATAAGGTTCTATATCAAATCCAAAGATTATTATTATCATTGCATTATCAAGCAGGACTTTACCATGTATATAACATGACAGAGGAGAAACCAAAAGAAATCTGTTCACATTTCACTCAATGCAACAGTTTTCCTTCCACCTTTTCTTCAGTAAAGCATTGGGCTCATTGTTACAGCTGTTTACACAAAATCGCCCAGAATCAGACAGACTAAGCATGTATATTTAGACTGTGCTGCCACTTCCATTTTCAGCATTGAAAAGTACAGCTGGAAGAAAGCAGGGTTCCACGTCCCTCAATACACTGACTTGCAATGCTCAACACCACCTTAAATTGACTTCCATATTGTGTTTAGTGAACATCGGTCTGTTTCATGCCCTCACCCTACCGTTCCCACCATGAGTGAGCAAGCCATTCTGACCCAACTCTCTGGTACTCCATCCTGAAGTCCTTCTGGAGTTACCTTTTTAACTGCACTTTCTGTCGTCTTTTCCTTCCCCCACCCTCTTCAGCTCCCCCCCCCACCCCCAGCCCCTCAAAGCCAGCTGTATTAAGAGACATCCTCCTTTCCAGTGTCATGCACATGAGAAGCCTCAATGTTTGGGTTAGAACTAAGCACAACGCTTCATAGAATTAACAGCACAGAAGAAGGTCATTGTGCCCATGTTGACACTCTGCTAGAGCTAATTATTTAGTCCCATTCTCCTGCCTTTTCCACGTAGCTTTTCTTATATTTCACATGTTCAGATATTTAACTAATTCCCTTTTAAAAGCTAATACGAATTGTACCTTAACCATGGTTCAGGTAGGACATTCCACATCCTATCTCCCTCTTTGATCATTCCCCATAGTTGCTCTAAATTCTTGTAATCATTTGCAGTGCTTCCCTGACCAGGGCATGCCTATTACTATGACTCTATTACTGGCTTGTGATTCTCTGGATAAAGCTTCAAGCAGCACTTTTGTAACTAATTGGATAATCTCAGTACTTTTTAAAAAAGGCCCTACTGTAACACCTGATAAATCACTGAATCCAGAACATTAAAAAGCAATAAAATAATGCAAAATAGATTCCAAAAATAATGCCAAAATATATTATTGATTTCTGTTTTCTGAGCTCTGGAGATCCAGCAAGATACAGATTTTAAAAAAATTATATTTGTGAATAAAGCACATGACATAGCGCCTTTCATGTTGGGAAGATGTCCCTGAGCATTGGCCAATCAGTGTTTCAGACTCGAGCTGGGGGGGAAATGGGGAGGGTGAAGGGCATGGGGGAAGGAGGGTGAACGAAGGCAAGGTCGAAGAAGAGGGTTTTGAAATGGGTCAAAGGAGGCAAGGGAGGGGGCGAGGCAGAGAGACTGTGGGATGGAGTTCAAAGGTGATTCTGGGAATATTCTCAAGGCACAGAAAGTGCCTTAGATGTTCCCTTCACTCTGAAGTGAAGCCCACCAGTACTTGATATCAGGGCAGATAACATAATTGCACGTTTCTCTCAGCACAGTAGAGTTACTGAGTCCGTTTGTTGCCTGCAATAATTGCTTTACTTAACCTTACTTAACCCACAACTCCAGTGCATGGTATGGGAGAGACAATGCAGAGACTTGGAGGGGGCAGGGAGAGGAAAGATTTCCTCTTGTGAGAAAAAATGACCAGGCCTAGCAACGTGTGCTTGTAATGGGAGTGACTCAGTGGACATTGTCAAATCTGGTCCTTTTCCCAAAAAGATCATGAAAGGATAAGATGAGATTAATATTAATAGGCTGTTTCCACTTGTTAATGAGTCCAAAGCAAGGGCATAAATATAAAACAGACAAGGGCAGATTAGAAAGAGAGTTTACAAGGCCATCTTTTAGTTGAGGGTAGTGAGTAATAATAATAATAATAATAATAATCCTTGCATTTGATATAGCGCTTTTCAAGTCGGAAAGACGTCCCAAAGCGCTTCACAGAACACACTGTAAAGTGAATTGACTGTATATTTGTGGGCGAACGCGGCAGCCAATTGCGCACAGCAATGTCCCACAAACAGTCGTAGATTGAAAATGACCAATTTTATTATTGTTTTTTGTTTTGGAGGGGTTATTATTAGGCGTGTGGAGTAAGGAAACTTGCCCAAGGTTTCGCCCTCTGCCTGGAATTGAACTCAGGTCTCTCGCTTGCAAAGCGAGTGCTCTAACCACTGAGCTACAGGACTCCACGTGAGTACTTGGAACTCATCACCTGAAGTTTTGGTTGAAGCATAAAGAATTAAAGTATTTCAAAGGAAAATTAATACCTATATAGGGAGAGGGGAATAAAGGGGTATAGGAGGTGTGGTGCCAGCATGAACTAATTGGCCTCAAATGGCTGGTTCCGTGCAATATCATTCTTTAATATCAAAGAAATTTACAATGTGGAAGGCGGCTGGCTATTCAGCTCATTAAGTCTGCACTTGCTCTCAGAGCAACTTGCCCATTCAATGTTGCTGACTCTCCCCCTATTTCCATACCCCTTCAAGCCTTTATCTTTCATATACAGGGTGACCAAAAAGTCGTGATACCATTATCATGTCTAATATGTCTTAAAGAAATGATGAGTTTTTTTTATACTTTTTGGTGATCCTGCACTTGTCTAATTCCCTCTTGAAACCCACAATGGACTTTATAAAATCAGAAATCTATAGAATTCTGTTATTCTATGTAATGAGAAAGATTTCCTATGTCAACAACTGTTCACCCTCTACAATGCTCTTAAACCATTCTTCCTTTTGTACAGTAAGGCTGTTTAAGACCTTTATAAATATTTAATCCAGAACAAAGCAAAGTAGTCCTTTGTTAGAAATTATTGTGTAAATAAAATATTGTACATCCTGTTATTGTGTAGCTTTTGGAAGATCTGTTGAAATAGGTTCTAATAATTGTGATATGCAAAGCAGATGTAAATTTACATATTAAAATCAACATTTACATATACAAACTGGGGCAAAATATACTTAAATATTGGGACAAAATGATGGAAAGTCCATCCTGTTAAATGAATTATTCAGAGTATTATTCTCAGATATGTACAGTATATTATTGCAAATTCTAACATTGACTTCAAGACTGCTTATCATACGAATTGCATAGTGAAATATAGCCATCTTCACTACACAGCAATTGCTGTATTGTTCCCTGTAGGCGTCAGCCTGGCTCAGTTGGTAGCACTCTTACCTCTGAGTCAGGAGGATGTGAGTTCAATCCCCAGTCTAGGCTGACACTCCAACAAAATGTTGGTGTTGTCAGAGGTGCATCCTTAAACTGAGACATTAAACTGACATCTGCCTGTTCAGGTGAATGTTAAAGATCCCATGGCACTACTCGAAAAGACCTAAGCGTCCGGTTCGACCCCCAACTGTACTTTCTCACCCACATCCGGTCCCTGACCAGGACTGCCTTCTTCCACCTCTGCCACATTGCCCGCCTCCAACCATACCTTACCCCACTGCAGCCGAACCCTTGTGCATGCGTTTGTCACCTCCTGCCTGGATTACTCAAACACACTCCTCGCCGGTCTCCCCAACTTCACCATTCACAAGATCCAGCTCATTCAAAACTCTGCCGCCCGCATACTGACCCGGAACAAACTCCGTACCCACATCTCACCAGTTCTGGCCAGGCTCCACTGGCTCCCCATCACCAAACGGATCAACTTCAAGATCTTCATTCTTGTGTTCAAATCCATTCACTCCCTGGCACCTCCCTACCTCTCTGACTTCCTCACTCCCCAATCACCCCCCGGCACCTCCGCTTGATTGGCATCGGCCTCTTGCTCGTCCCTCGCACCCTCCGCCCCACCATCGGAGGTTGTGGTTTCAGCCACTACGCCCCAAACTCTGCAACACTCTCCCTCAATCCCTCCACCTTACCCCCTCTCTCCCCTCTTTCAAGTCCCACCTGAAAACTTTCCTGTTTGTACAGCCACCTCCCCCACCCCCCAGCTCAGAGTCAGGCTTCGCCACTGTTAACCGCTCTGAGACGCTACCCTGTGTGGAGGGCACGATATGAGTGCAGGTTGTTATTGTTGTTGTAGAACACAGACCAAGCAGAGAGATGTATAATGTTGTGTTGCTGATAAGTAATTTTTCTGTTCCTTTAACCACATTTTTTTGTAAAAAGACATTCATCTTTTAGTGTCACAATATAATAGGATAATAATACGATATGATGCTCATAACTCCCTCTATTACAAAACTCACTTGCAGCTTCTATCTTAAAAATGAAGAAGTAACAATCAATAATTCATCCAGCTCCACAAATATAGCAGTAACAGGAGAAAGCTGAAACAATATTAAAAGCATTCATAGATCCAAAGTGGTACAACAACAAGATTATATTTGTATAGGGTCTTTCACATCAGGAGGACGTCCCAAGGCGCTGGACAGTGTACAGCATTTCAGACCCGGGCAGGGGTCGGGGGGGAGAAGGGAGGGGAGGGAAAGGGGGGTGGCTGATGGCATGGTCGAAGAGGAGGGTCTTGAGGCGGCCAATTCAGGAAAGTTGTTACTAGAGACAAG